GTTTACGAGATTCATATTGTAGTCCCCCTGACCTTTTGTCAAATTTATAGCAATGCCTTGAACAAACAGTATAAATAATTTAAACCAATGAAGTTTGGCAAGAATCCTTGTCTCCATAATTTGATATACTCATATCATTTTTATTATGATGCCATTGATTAGTATTTATTATTCACCATTATAGTTTTTTAAAGTTATGTTTAGATTTATTTCTGCAAAATGACATCCAAGAAGAAAATAGACATCACATCCTTCTATTTTTAAATGTAGGAACACACTTTACTGGCTGTTCACTTCTAAAATAGATGGCCTGCTCAATAGCATTACATGTGAAAAAGTTATTGGAGTCCTTGTGGACAACAAGTTAAACATGAGCCAAAAATGTGATGCGGCAGCTTAAAAAGCCAGTGGGATTTTGGCCTGCATCAATAGGAGTCTAGTGTCTAGATCCAGGGGAGTCATGCTACCCCTCTATTCTGCCTTGGTCAGACCACACCTGGAATACTGTGCCCAATTCTGGGCACTGCAATTTAAGGGAGATGTTGACATGCTGGAAATTGTCCAGCGGAGGGTGACTAAATGATCAAGGATCAGGAGAACAAGCCCTATGAGGGGCGGCTTAAAGAGCTGGATATGTTTAGCCTGAAGAAGAGAAGACTGAGAGGAAACATGAGGAGGGTCATGTCTAAATGAGTGAAGGGAAGTCATAGGAAAGAGGGAGCAAGCTTGTTTTCTGCTGCCCTGGAGACTAGGATGCAGAACAATAGTTTCAAACTACAGGAAATTGATTCCACCTGAACATTAGGCAGGCTATGCATTCATAACTGCCATACAAGGTTCTGGCTGAGAAGAGTGGGGTAGAAATGTACACTGTGGTCAGCTAGTGACAATGAAGAGGAAAAATGTATTGTCGAAGGCTTTCATGGCTGGAATCACTAGGTTCTTGTGGGTTTTTTCGGGCTATAGAGCCATGTTCTAGAGGCATTTCTCCTGACGTGATGCAGGCGAAACGTCAGGAGAAATGCCTCTAGAACATGGCTCTTTAGCCCGAAAAAACCCACAAGAACCTAATGAAGAGGAAAGCCGCTCATAGAGAGGAAGGAGTGGTGAGAGCATTGAGTTAACTAGAGAGCACATGAGCACAGAAGAGAGAGGCAACTTTCATTCCAAACACCCCACTCCTCTCCATGTTCTTTTGACATTACAAGATCGACAAAATATATAAAGATATTGTTTTGTTCTGCATATGAATGTAGCAAGAAATCAGTGAAAAAATCCAAAGCACAGTATTACTTTCATAAGTAAGTCAATATTTTTGTACAAAAGAAATATTCAGTCGCAGGAAAATGAACGTCAGGTGACAGGATATTCTCGCATGTAATCTCTAATTGCACACAATGAAGTTGGACACTTACATTACCCTGAATTCAATGCAGATTACTCAAAAGAAGGTGTTGTTCGGGGGCACCTGCTCAGCCCCACAGCCTCTGTCTTGTGGGGTCCCACAGGGCTCAGTATTATCCCCCATGTTGTTTAGCATCTACATGAAACTGCCGGGAGAGATCATCCGGAGTTTTGGAGTTTGTTGCCATCTGTCCGCAGAAGATGTCCAACTCTATCACTCCTTTCCACCTCCTACTAAGGAGGCTGTTCAGGTCCTGAACTGGTGCCTGGAAGTTGTGACAACCTGGATGAAGGCGAACAAATTGAAACTGAATCCAGACAAGACAGAGGTACTCCTGGTCAGTCGAAAGGCCAAACAGGGTATAGGGTTACAGCCTGTGCTGGATGAGGTTGCATTTCCCCTGAAAACACAGATTAGCAGTTTGGGAGTTCTCCTGGATTCATCACTGAACCCCGAACCCCAGGTTTCAGTGGTAGCCAGGGGAGCCTTTGCACAATTAAAATTTGTGCACCAGTTGCATCTGAGAAGTCAGATTTGGCCAAGGTGATCCATGTTCTTTGTACACAAAGAATAGATTACTGCAATGTGCTCTTCGTGGGGTTGCCTTTGAAGACTGTTCAGAAGGTTCAAGTAGTCCAATGGGCAGCAGCCAAGGAGGCACAGGAGCACACAAATCCCCTGTTATGCCAGCTCTACTGGCTGCCAGTCTGCTACTGAGCACAATTCAAAGTGTTGGCTTTGGCCTATAAAGCCTCAAATGATTCTAGCCCTGTTCTCGATCCCACTCCTATCTCAGGTGCCTTCTCAGCCCCTCCCCAGTGAAATTAGATAAGCCCCCTCCCTCCTGTCCTTCAGAAAGAAAGTGGTTCCTGTGGGAACCAAACCCTTGGACAATAATTCTCAGTGTAATGAGAGATTATGGAACAATGCAATTGACAATTGGAATGGCTCCTGGAATATAACCATTTTCCTAGTTCCAACAGACCTCACTACCTCTGAGGATGCTTGCCATAGATGCAGGCGAAACATCAGGAGAGAATGCTTCTAGAACATGGCCATATAGCCCGAAAAAACCTACAACAACCCAATATGCCTTTGGATCGTATTAAGATTGATATGTTTTAATTATTGGTTTTAACGTATATGTTGTATTATCTTATGTATATATGCCATCAAATTGTGCCTGTTTTGTAAGCCACCCTGAGTCCCCTTAGGGTTGAGAAGGAAGGGATATAAATGCAGTATATCAATCAATCAATCAATCAATCACTTGTGCCTTGAATATTACTACTGCCCGCATGATTGCTGTTCTGTTTCATGACTTAACTTTATCAAGCGCCAAGTGTTTTCATTAGCAAAGACTGGCATTAGTCATAGAGAGCAAAACAACACCACAGGGGTGTTTACCCTTCCCTATGCTATATATATAGCATAGTAAAGTAAAGGTAGTCCCCTGACATTAAGTCCAGTCATGTCTGTGAGTGTGGTGCTCATCCATTTCTAAGCCGAAGAACCAGCGTTGTCCATAGACAGCTCCAAGGTCATGTGGCCGGCATGACTGCATGGAGCGCCGTTACCTTCCCGCCGGAGCGGTACCTATTGATCTACTCACATTTGCATGTTTTCGAACTGCTAGGTTGGCAGAAGCTAGGGCTGACAGCAGAAGCTCACGCCGCTCCCCGGAATCGAACCTGCGACCTTTCGATCAACAAGCTCAGCAGCTCAGTGCTTTAACCCACTGCGCCACCGGGGGCTCCATATATAGCATAGGAAAGGATAAACACCCTTGAGGTATGTGTGTGTGTGTGGGGGGGGGGGCTTCTACACTGCCATATAATCCAGATTATCAAAGCAGATAATCCACATTATTTGCTTTGAACTGAATTATATGAGTCTACACTGCCATATAATCCAGTTCAAAACTGATAATGTGGCTTTTGTATGACAGTGTAGAAGGGGCCTTAGTTTGTAGCCTATCTATCTATCTATCTATCTATCTATCTATCTATCTATCTCCAAGTTCCTTCGGGGGAGACAGGATGGTATATAAATAAAGTTTTATTATATTAGAGAGCTAATCACCTCTCAATAAAGGATTCCCTCAGGCAGTAAGAAGCCAAAATTGAAAACTGCCAGGCCATTAAATGCTAATCAAAGTAGCCAATTGAAACATTCACACCTACCTCCAACAGACAAGAGTTCTTTCTCCTACTTTGGACATTCCACAGATATATAAACTCCATTTTCCTAGTATCCAACAGACCTCCCAACCTCCGATGATGCCTGCCATAGATGCAGGTGAAACGTCAGGAGAGAATGCTACTGGAACATGGCCAGACAGTCCAAAAAACTTACAGCAACTCAATAAATATGTTATTGGCAACTTGGGGGCTGGCTGTAATAAGAATGACATCTCACACAGGACAAGTGCGGGCCGGGACTGGGGTTTTAGAGATGCTTAGGTGAGGCATGGCTACACAAAATCCAGTGGTGTAGAGCAGCGTTTCTCAACCTGGGGGTTGGGAACCCTGGTGGGGTTGCAAGGGGGTGCCAGAGGGGTCGCCAAATACCATCAGAAAACACATTATTTTCTATTGGTCATGGGGGTTCTGTGCAGGAAGTTTGGCCCAATTCTCTCGGTGGTATTCAGGATGCTCTTTGATTGTAGGTGAACTGTAAATCCCAGCAACCACAACTCCCAAATGTCAAGGTCTATTTTCCTCAAACTTTATCATTGTTCACATTTGGGCATATTGAGTACTGATGCCAAGTTTGGTCCAGATCCATCACTGTTTGAGTCCACAGTGCTCTCTTGATGTAGGTGAACAACAACTCCAAAACTCAAGGCCAATCTATCAGACCCTTCTGGTATTTTCTGTTGGTCATGGGAGTCCTGTGTGCCAAGTTTGGTTCAATTCCATCGTTGGTGGTGTTCAGGATGCTCTTTGATTGTAGGTGAACTATAAATCCCAGCAACTACAACTCCCAAATGTTAAGGTCTATTTTCCCCAAACACCACCAGTGTTCACATTTGAACATATTGAGTATAGGTGCCAACTTTGGTCCAGATCTATCATTGTTTGAGTCCACAGTTCTCTCTGGATGTAGGTGAACTACAACTTCAAAACTCAAGATCAAACCAGATCGTTCCAGTATTGTCTGTTGTTCATGGGAGTCCTATGTATCAAGTTTGGGTCAATTCCATCTTGGTGGAGTTCAGGATGCTCTTTGATTGTAGGTGAACTATAAATCCCAGCAACTACAACTCCCAAATGACAAAATCAATCCCCCCCCAACCCCACCAGCATTCAAATTTGAACGTATTGAGTATTTGTGCCAAGGAGTTGTCCAGTGAATGAAAATACATCCTGCATGTCAGATATTTATATGAAGATTCCTAACAGCGTGCCATGCAGTCATGCCGGTCACATGACCTTGGAGGTGTCTACGGACAACGCCGGCTCTTCGGCTTAGAAATGGAGATGAGCACCCCCCCCCCCCCCCCCCCCCCCCCCCCCCGAGTCGGACACGACTGGGCTTAATGTCAGGGGAGAACCTTTATACCTTTACCTTCCTAACAGTAGCAAAACTCCAGTTATGAAGTAGCAGGGGAAATAATGTTATGGTTGAGAGGGTCAACCACAAGATGAGGAACTGCATTAAGGGTTGTCGGCATTAGGAAGGTGGAGAAACCCCGGTGTCGAGAGTGAGGCACTTTGGGTTTGGCTGCCTCTTGGCCTGGGCGCGAGGTCTTCCCAGCAGGAAGGTTCCCTGAGGCTGGGCTGAGGCTGGAAGCCCATTGGCTGCTGGGAGCCATCACCTGCCCGCTGGGTGGCTGCAGAGGGCAGAGGCCGGGCAGCGCGAGGCAGAGCAGCAGCAGCAGCAGGTAGTCGCGCGCTGGGAAAGATGCCTCTGGGGCTGAAGGGCCGGCGGAAAGGCAAGTCCAAGGAGAGCTCCACGCTGGTGGACGGCGAGGCGCCCTTGGCCCGCGGGTGGCGAGGGGAAGACGAAGGCGGAGGGCTGGGGGCTTTATCCAGCCCGGCCGCCGCCGCCGCCGCCGCCGCCGCCGCCGCTTCTTCCCGGCAGAGCCCCCTCCGGCTGGTTTTCCACACGCAGCTGGCCCACGGCAGCCCCACGGGGCGCGTGGAGGGCTTCGGCAGCGTCCGCGAGCTCTACGCCAAGATCGCCGCCGCTTTCCACATCGCCCCCGCCGAGGTAGGTCCTGGGCGCCTCTCCGCCCTGCCTTGCCTTGCCTTGCCCCCTTCTCCTCCCCTGAGCCTCCCGCCTGCTTGCAACGCCTTGCAGGCTCTGCTCCCACTCTTGGGCCTCTCTTGCCCCACAATGGAATCCATGCCCCAACGGGGAGAATGGACTCACTGTCTGGCACCACTTGTTCTATGCTAGGGAATCCCAAGACTGCCTATTGCAGGCCGGGGCAAACTTGGGCCCTCCGGGTGTTTTGGACTTCGACTCCCACAATTCCTAACAGCCGGCAGGCTGTTAGGAATTGTGGGAGTTGAAGTCCAAAACACCCGGAGGGCCCAAGTTTGCCCTTATATTATCTACACACACTATAGGACTAGTGACAGCATTGGAACTGCAACAGCTCAATGTTACGCCAACCCAGGCTTGATAGACCTTTTCAAACTACAGCTCTCAGGGTTCCATAGGAGCTCCCAGGATTAAACTTCTGAAGACCAACAGGTCAGAGGTTCGAATCTGGAGAGAGCAGGTTGAGCTCCCACTGTCAGCTCCAGCTCCCCACGCAGGGACATGAGAGAAGCCTCCCACAAGGGTGGTAAAACATCAAAGCATTCAGGCGTCCTCTGGGCAACGTCCAATTCTCTCACACTAGAAGTGACTTGGAGTTTCTCAAGTCACTCCTGACATGAAAAAAGGGTTCCATAGCCTTCAGCCACGGCTGTGAAAGTGGTGCCAAACTGTGTTGATTCTACAGTGTAGCTGCAGCCTTATTTGCTGCCCTGTGTTGTTTGTACATGGTGAAGTGAGTGGCAAATATACACAACTACTGGATTTTCTCCAATGTATGTGAATACGGAAGGCCAAAGAGTCAGGAGAGGCATGCAAGGGACTATTGGAGGGAATAAAGGGACTCATGCCTCTGTCCAGCATTTTCCCCCATGTCCCCCTCTATTTCCCCCATGTCCCCCTCTATTTCTCCCATGTCCCTCTCTATTTTCTCCATATTCCCCTCTATTTCTCCCAAGTTCCTCTATTTTCCCCATGTCCTCCTCTATTTTCCCCATATCTTCCTCTATTTTCTCCATGTCCCTTTCTATTTTCCCCATGTCCCCTTTTATTTTTCCCATGTCCCCCTCTATTTTCTCCATCTCTCCCTCTAAAAACAGGCCTTCATCCTCTGCCCAGAACAAAATACATTTGAGAAAGTCGACTCGGAGGCAACCCACACTGCAGAATTATGGCGATTCGACACCATGAAACGCCATGGCTCTGAGCTGTGGAAATGTACAGTTTGCAGTTTGTTCCGGCACTTAGAGCTTTCTGATACAGAACAGTCAATATTTCACAAAACTACAAATCTTAGGGCCCTTCCAGACAGGCCCTATAGCCCAGGATCTGACCCCAGGTTTTCTGTTTTAAACTGGATTATATTATATGAGTTTGCACTGCCAGATAATCTGGGATAAACAGAAAACCTGGGATCAGATCCTGGAATATAGGGCCTGTCTGGAAGGGCCCTTAGAATCCACTTGTGTTGAGCCACAGCTGCGAATGCGGCATGTAATTCTGCAGTGTAGATACAACCCAAAGCCCTTCCATACAGCCATATAACCCAGAGTATCAAGGCACGAAATCCCACATTTTCTGCCTTGGGTTATCTAAGTCCACATTGCCATATATTCCAGTTCAAAGCAGATATTGTGAGACATCTTGCCTTGATATTCTGGGTTATATGGCTGTGTGGAAGGGTCCTAAGAAATTGAGGTCTGTTCCACATGGCTGAATAAAATCCCACATTATCTGCTTGAACTGGAATATATGGCAATGTGGACTCAGATAACCCAGTTCAAAGCAGGAATTGTGGGATTTCCTGCCTTGATCAGGTTATATGGCTGTGTGGAAGAGCCCTCAGGCCATGAAAGCTTCGTTCTCTAAGGGTCCTTCCACACATCCCTATAACCCAAAATATCAAGGCAGAAAATCCCACATTATCTGAGTGTGGACTCAGATAACCCAGTTCAATGCAGATATTGTGGGATTTTCTGCCTTGATATTCAGGGATTTAGGGCTGTGTGGAAGGGCCCTAAGGTTCTATACATACAGCTATTCCAAAAGACAGGGCTATGCCTTTGAATTTAGAAGCTATAGTTTAAACATTTCTAAGCTTGGCAGTAGGTTTCTTTTTTTAATGAATGGTGAAAGAGTTTTTGAAAAAGTACATTGATTTGCCCCAGTTGCAGTATTCTCATTGCTCTTTATTCAAGGCCACCCACCCTTCACGTTAAAACTTGTTAGTATTTGGGATCAGAATGATCCATCAACCCTTAGACTTCAACTGTCCGAGTTCAAGAAACAGTAAACACTTGCTTGAAGAAAAAGGTACCTCTGAGCAATGGAGGAGTGTTTGCCATCGGTCAGCACCGTATTTCTTGCTGCTACTGCCACTGTAATACTTTCTTATCTGATACGACCAGAGGCATTATTAGGATCAGTACACAAAACATAAGCTCAGGATTGTTGCATAGAGGCCAACAAAACCTTTATATCCATAGTCTCACCATACACTGTGGTGTTCAAGTGGGATTTCAAACGTACTTCAAATTGCAGTCTCACCCCCTCTCGTATTTTCCTGACACTAGTTCTCACCCTGGTTATTAAAGTTTAAGGAAATCACTTGTATGTTGTGGGGATGCCTTCTGTTGTGATGTTCTGGGATGTTGTCTTCTTGTTGTCCTCCATGTGTGTTTTTCTGTGTGGGGAATCTAAAATGGTTCCATTTGTCTATGTATGAATGAGTGAAGTGAAAGCTGCAGTTGGAATTGGAAGCAAATTTCAAATGGCAAGTGCATCACCTAAGACTCGCATATGTGAAGATAATTCTGTATATCAAACATAAGTCTTAATTAGAGATGTAATTCATTATAATGCCTGAACAGAGACATCAAATTATGATTGGACAATATGACATGGGCCATCTAACCCAACCCCCTTCTACGCAAGAACACCCAATTGAACATAATAGCCTGTAATAATAAATAATTTTCTGTTCTAAAATTACTCCTCACTGTATTGTCGAGGGCTTTCATGGCTGGAATCACTGGGTTGTTGTGTATTTTCTGGGCTGTATGGCCATGTTCCAGAAGCATTCTTTCCTGACATTTCATCTGCATCTATGGCAGGCATCCTAAGAGGATGCCTGCCATAGATTCATGCAAAACACATTAACCCAGTTACTCCTCAATATTTCTCACTTGAGCTTCATTGACCCTGCCCGTGTAAGAGCTCAATGAACAAAATATATTTACTTTTTTAAAAAATGCATTATTTAAACTTCTTAGAAAGGGCAATTTCCTTCCTTGCTGACAAAACTACTGCAGTCAAGGTTACAAACCGTAAACTAAGTAAATAATTTCTTTTATTTATCCAAGTTGTTGCAATTGTCGTGCTTTGTGTAGCTTTGAGCATTGAAAAAAGAAGCGAGACTGAAGATGTGTAATTATACTCCCGACTACACGGATCATTTTACCTTGGCATTGCAGCTTGTCACAATAGTATCTCTTTTTTTATTATCGGGAAGAACAATAAAGGCTTTGAAAGACAGTGAAGTTCTCATGCATGACAAAGAATTGCAACAGTTATTTCACACCAGATATGGTTTTAAGCATTGCACACAAGCATGCCAACAGGTTCTAGCACACAAAATGGGGGCAGCGCTTATCATTGCTTTCCCAGGTTAATTAGCTAGTATTAAAGGGATGATCAGTTGCCTATCAAGTTAATGAGGCATATAACTAAAAATATTTGTTGCACATCAATAATTTTGGCTGGATATATTTCTTGTTATGTAAACATTTCCCCTTGACATTAAATCTAGTTGAGTCCAACTCTGGGGGTGGTTCTCATCTCCATTTCTAAGCTGAAGAGCCAATGTTGTCCGTAGACATCTCCTAGGTCAGCATTTGTCAACCTGGGGGTTGGGACCCCTGGGAGGGTCACAAGGGGGTGTCAGAGGGGTCGCCAAAGACTACCAGAAAACACAGTATTTTCTGTTGTTTATGAGGATTCTGTGTGGGAATTTGGCCCAATTCTATCAGTCGTGGTGTTCAGAATGCTTTCTGATTGTAGGTGAACTATAAATCCCAGCAACTACAACTCCCAAATGCCAAGGTCTGTTTTCCCCCAAACTCCACAAGAGTTCACATTTGGGCATATTGAGTATTCCTGCCAAATTTGGTCCAGATCCATCATTGTTTGAGTCCAGTGCTCTCTGGAAGTAGGTGAATGACAACTTAAGAACTCAAAGTCAGTGACTACCAAACCCTTCCAGTATTTTCTGTTGGTTATGGGAGTTCAGTGTGCCAAGTTTGGTTCAATTCCATGGTGGAGTTCAGAATGCTCTTTGATTGTAGGTGAATTATAAATCCCAATAACTACAACTCCCAAATGACCAACTCAATTCCCCCTTCTCCAACCCCACCAGTATTCAAATTTGGGCACATCCGGTATTTGTGCCAAATACATTCTGCATATCCGATATTTACATTAAGAATTGTAACAGTAGCAAAATTATAGTTGTGAAGTAGCAACAAAAATAATTTTGTGGTTGGGGGTCATCACAACATGAGGAACTGTATTAAGGGGTTGCGGCATTAGGTCATGTGGCTGGCATGACTACATGGAGTGTTGTTACCTTCCTGCTGAATTGGTACCTATTGATCTACTCACATTTGCATGTTTTTGTGCTGCTAGGTTGGCAGAAGCTGGGGCTAACAGCGGGCACTCACCCCATCTGTGGATTTAAACTGCTGACCTTCCAATCAGGAAGTTCTGCAGATTAGCAGTTTAACCTGCCGCACCACTGCAGCCCCCTATAGTTCTTGTTACTTGCCTAGAAATCTAGATACAAATGGGAAAACAATTAAAGGAAGCCTAATTCTTCAAAAGTTCCCTTTAATTATAACTTATTTTATATGAGAGGCTTCTTTATGCTAAGTTGATTTTGTTTAAACCAT